GTATTACAGAGTGGCACTAATCATAGTGTAGGATTTATAGTTGTCATTCAAATGTTTGTCTGACTGCTAGAATGGCATCAACCAATCAACCAAATCATTCTCATTCTCAGCCCCAGTAAGATTAGGATACATAACAGACAGTGTAAGAAAGAAGAGATGGACCACTTGTAGACAAATCCATATTCTATAGCCACTTTTTCCTATGTTGGTCACAAAGGAGTGCTAGAGCCTACTTGTAGATAAATGAATGGAAGAAACCACAACACTCAATATTTGAGCTAAAGACATAAAATGTATGATACTGTTGTTGCCGGATTTTATTGCTGATTTTATGTTATTGAGGCACAAACAATTTTGAAGACTTCAGTCTTTCCCCATTTAAGCAGACAGAAGTTGTATTAATCACACAGAAAATAGCTGTCTGGGGCCATTGCCAAGATGGCTGCCGAGTGAACTGACTTGCACAGAAAAGGATTTGGCTACATTAAGATGATACCTGGGAACCAAGACCAATATTTGATATAGAGAAATTCTTCCATCAGACACCACAGCTGTGTCTCATTCAAAACTGAATTGAGAATGCCTTTTAAAATCTAATGACAACATTTGAACTGCAGAACTACAATTTGAATGCAAATGTAAAATATAACTATGATTTTCAATTTTGATATAAGACAAGCTTTGAATGCTGGCTTGAGGTTTGAAGATTTACAGGCAGATAGAATGATAGACATGGATGGATGGATGGATGGATGGATGGATGGACGGACGGGCGAACGGACGGACAGGCAGGCAGGCTGATTGATTGATTGATTGATTGATTGATTGATTGATTTTGTCTTCTTGGTCAGTGAGTCAACGACATTGAAAAAAAATCTCAAAAACTGTCAATGGACACATTTCGTTCCCCAGTGTGATTAGATCCATGGGAATAAATTGTTTCAATTTAATTTCTAGTGGTGAATACTCACTCTTAGTCCCAATAGCTCTTAAAGTGATACTTTATTTTTCACTTTAAAAGCATATAACAAATTCCACTTACTGACTATCAGTAGAGACCACTTCCCGCCTTTGGCATGGAAAGCTCAGCTGCCTCCCACAATATATTCCGAAAAACATTAAAATAACAAAATAACAAAACTGTTTGAAGTACATCACAATAATAACCATAGTCTTGCTCTACCAGTACATGGGCTTTTTACTTTTCATCTCAGCGAGCTCTCTAAACACAGAGAGATTGAAGGTATCACCTCATTTTTTCACTTCACCTGATTCTTTCTCATGGAGAGCCAAGGAGGTTATTTCCCTGAGTCACATTAACAAATTGCAGAGGCACAGTGTTTCTTTCAGCGAAGGTTTAAAACATCCACTAAAAGGTTTTTGTGTTTGGTTAGCTGGTTATGTTCAACTTATGGACACAAAAAACAAGCTATTACATATCCTTGAATGCCATTTCAGAAAGATGCTAAGCAATCTGCTAGTATCCAAAGAGACAAACTGCATGATACTAATCTGATTCAGGATGGTAAAGAGGGCCCAATGTTAGCTTTAATACTCATATTCATTTGGTCTCTGAGGACCTCTCATCTGATAAAGCTTGTCAATTTCATTTTACACAACAGCCTGCTGTAGATGGCATCTCTTTAGAAGAACAACTCGCTCTTTTCTGTTGAAACAAACTAGGGCTGTGCAAAAAATCAAATGCAATTTTCATGCGCATCTCGTCAGTAAAGCCGCTTCTGGTGATTAGTAGTAAATCTCCAGCACGTGCTTTCAGATGGAGCAGCATTTACTACACAGAGCCGTAGATCACTGACAAACAACACAAAATCGTGTTCAAAATCGCAGGCGATTCATTGCCGATTTTGAACGCGATTTTCACCAGTACTAATCACCAGAAGCGGCTTTACTCATGAGATTCGCATGAAAATCGCATTCGATTGTTTTGCCCAGCCCTAAAACAAACTCTTGTTTCTAATTTGCTAAGGTTGTGTTGCTGTTGCATAATAGGCCTTTTTCACAAATTACAACAGCAAATGTTTCAGGTTTGTATCTACAACACAAACACCTTTACACTCACCATTCCTCACTTCTTTTCATCCTTTTTCTTGTCCTCCTTGCATGTGCTCATCATTGCATCTATTGTAAATTAAAGAAATGCCTATGGCTGTGAGTCAGACAGTCTTGCTGATGACAATAATAGCATTTCTCTATTGCCGTTTTCTTTGTCCAACATAAGTCGTCGAGCCAATGTCTCGTGTCTATTTCAACATGGATGCCTCCTCATTTTCTCCCCACACTATCTCTCTTTCTCAATTTCTCCCTTGGTAAATGCAAGAGCTTCTTGGGTGTAAACAATTACAAGCTTATTGCACAGATTGCTGGAGTCGTGTTAAATAAAATCAGAGCGTTCACCCGAACTGCAAGCTGCCTCCTGCCTGGCCCATTTTGTAACAGTGAACCTCCCCTTTCTCAAGCTTAGCCGAGCTGAAAGGGATTCTGTGCATCACAAAAAAAAAAAAAAAAAACATTTGTTCTGCATATACTTGCACTAAAAACAACAGAAACAAACAAAAAAATCCATATGTATCTGGGTCCCTTTGATAGCGCAAAATCATCAAAGGAGTAAAATGCATTTCAATTACAGGACACACAGACAATTACTGTACAAGGAAGGACTAAATTGAACAAATTAAGAAAGGTGTGTTTATGGACATCATAAGCACATAATACGAAATAAATGTAGAAATACAGTTGGAGTGCAGAGTGTCTGCTTTTGTCTTCTTTTTGGCTCTTCTTTAAGCTTTTTTTCTGCTCCTCATGTGTTTTTATAAGTGTTTCTGTAAGAATTTTTTCCTCTACTTATTATTTTTCTTTGCCCAGCATGTGACAAGGGACAGAGGCCTTTCAGCTCTTCTAGTGTTCCAAGTAATTATGAAGAAGTCTGAAAGTTGATTTGAAAGGCCCGGCTGTATTGCAAAACTCCCCAAATCATTAAGTCTCACAGATATGTCCAATGCTTGTAAGCCATTAACTAGTATACCTAGAATGTAACACAAGCTAACCACACAAGACCTGAGCTATCTGCTTCATTCAGGAAAAAAACAGGCTGTCGCTGCTCTATTGGAGCCATAGCCATGTGAGTAAGATTTCCAACATATGGTGAGGCTGCACTTTGGGAGACCTGAGTTCGAGTCTCGGCTCAAGGTCCTTTTCTGGTTCAATCCCATCTCTCCTCTACCATGATTTACTGTCTGTCCTTCTACTGTGCTATCTAAATAAAGGCAAACAGCCCAAAAATATAACTTACAGAAAAAAAAATCGGGCAGTGCTATGCAAAAAAAAAAAAACATCTCTCCACATTTAGAAATATCCATGTTCGGTCTCTCATTTAAAGATGTGTGAATGTGTCTTTTCTGCCTCTAGCGACAACAAACAGAACTGCACACCCTCCAACTGCCACTGGCCGGACTGACAGTCTTGTCCTGCCCACAACTGCCCACTCCGTTGGTTGGGTCAATGGTCCTGTGTTCAGCTGGTTAGGATTCTCAAACAGTGTAAAGCCATAGTGTTGAAACACTTTTCTGGTAAATCAACCAGTAAGGACTTATCATAAGTATATAGGATTTACTATAAGTATAGATTATTTTTAGACAGTACTTTATAGACAAAGCACATTATACACATTTAAGCGACAGACACTCCACAAATACTGGGGATACATATTAGATACCCTGCAAAATATGCATTGACTTCAGTCAAAGATATAAACAAAACAAATAAAAATTCAACATTTTTGTGGCATACTAATATCGATGTAACGTACGATACGCTAACGAAAAATGATCCAGCCTGCTGTTGCTATGGTTACCTCGCCTATTTTGTAAACTATTTTGTAAACTCTGATTAACTTGTAATCTAACTTTTGTGGTTGAATTACAGCTTATGCTAGTGAACCGTATATACACACATATATAAAAAGGAATACATAGACCTTCGAGACCACTCACAACCCTTTTTTTGGATAGGGGTTAAGCTTTAGGGAGGTCAGACCTTGAAATCTCTATCAAATCCAAACATATCATATACAGGTAGGCTATTTCACTCAAAACCAACGGGTGATGAAAGCAGCAGCAAATTTGCCTACTACCATCAGTAATCATTATTACAAATAAACATAGCAAAAACAACGTCTGTCCTACTAAAAGGGCATTCGTGCTATTAATATATTTTGGGGAAACACATGGCACGAGCAGCAGAGCGTATCCAGCCCTGCCGCCGCCGCGCGCTCGCTCAAGCGCAGCCAGACTCACTTTGCGCCTAAAATCATTATTAGCGATTCAAATGAGTGTCATCAGTGAAGCCGTCGTTAGAGAAGGGACTAACCGTTTAATATTTGCCCCGCGAACACCGGGGTGTCGGTAAACGTGTCTGCTGCTGCCCCGCGAATCCCTGAACGGCGACAGACATGTGGAAGGTCCGCGTTTCCCAAGAGCGAGTCCCGTATTTAATAACTCATATACATATATCACAAAACCACCGCTTATGTATGGACAGGACGCAAGCCGTAGCCTACTGGAGTACATACTAGAGTTTTTTTTTTTTTTTTTGGACATTAGGCTATCAATTGTGAGCATCAGTACTTTCTGTTGAATGTGTGTTTAATTATCTATACATTGATGAAAACAATCGTACAGCGGACTTTAGATGCACGTTAATATAAATTCAAGCGGACACAAACTGAACAAAACACGACGGTGTTTCTTCTTATTCACGTGAATTTACAACCGGAACAGTCAATAAAGAAAAAAAAATAGGCTATATTCAATTTGAAATGAATACATTTTCAACTAAATCCTTCGTACGGCGCGCGTGAGTGCTTATTCCTTAATCCAACATTCAAAAAAGAGACTCTAAAATATGAAGGAGACAGAAGCGCTGCCTTTGATAGCTCGCGGTAAATTCATCCCGTGTGATCATAGAAAATATGAATATTTTACCTTGTAATGTCGATCTTATTGCGTGGACTTTCTTTCCTGCGCTGAGTAAGTCTGTCGGTGTTCAATGACAAGTACTGAGTAAAATACTGTATGAACAGGGCAAACGCTGTTATCGCATCTCTCTCTCCCCCTCTTCCTCTCTCTCCCATAATAAAACGACTGTTTTAAAATCCCTCATCACGTACTCACTCTCCCTCGCTCTCAGCAGTCTGCAGCCTATCACAACAATCATGACAACTATCTCTTACAGAAATCCCATGCATAATATAAAATAAATTCCTATAATTTTGCGATCATCGCAATTTACAACATCATAGGCCTTATTATTGTAGACTATCGGGTGAGTGCAGTTCTTTGCATTTCCCCCTACATTTCAATAATTTCTCTTAGGCGAGACAGCACAACAGAAACACTATGTGAGTCCAATATTAAAAAGACTATCCCTCCTCCATCATAGAAGCAGAACGGAGCCAGTCAACGCATAAATGGTCGTATTATCCACCCGGGAATGACTGTTTTCTTTCTGTCTGGTGTTGCTGCCAAGGCTTCCTTTGTGTGTGTACGTGTGTCTGTGTATCTTTTTGGCTTTGAAGGGCACAGTTTTTAAAAAGTGATGAAGTCTTTGACCCATGTCGTCCTTCAGCTTCAATATCACCTCTTTTACTCATGAAAATCGTTTAAAAACAACTTATCACAACAGCACAGGAAATGTATTTCAATGTTAACAGACACTTCTGCTTAAATGGATAGTTCACCCAAAATGTAAAAAAAAAAAATTCTTTCATTTACCCTTATGGGGTTCCAAACTTGTATTTTTGAAGAAATTTTCAACTGTTTTTGTCCTTATGAAAGTCAAAGTGGTCCAAAACAATATTGTACCACTGGTGCGGTCGCACTTCAGGCAGGACTCGAAGGTCAATTTCCCTCTTTCCTCTCCCAAGATTTCTTGTCTGTACTCCTAGTGTGCTATCTACATAAAGGCAAAAAAAGGATTATGTCGCCTAAATGTGAATGCATCTTAAGACATTTTTTTATATTTTCTTTTGTGTTCTTTTTTTTTCTTTTGTATTTGTGTTTTTGTGTTCACACATATGTTGTTAGATGTTGCCAGTATATAGATGGTACTGATTACATCCCTATAGCACACCCATTGGAGTTGCTTTTTTTTGTTAAAGCAACTTAAATTCTTGTTAGCAGGTCCTCAACCTAAGCACTCAACATTTCACCACAATGGTAACTCACCCAAAAACACCAACATAACAGAAAGTCTTTTGAAATACCAACATAATAGAACATTAAACATTAACAAGTCTCCCTGTTTCTCATCTTGCTAAAAAATTTATAAATAACACTTTATTTCATAATTTTCTCTCCCTATCCAACTAACATTGCAACGCATGATGGGAAGTTTAAAGTTTATTTTAAACTATTTGATCGAAATATCATTTTCGAAGCCCAGAAAATGATCTACATGAGAAGATATTACAGTTGCTTAGCTAAATATAATATAGAGATGAAGACAGATGGAAAGTGGAAGCCGTGAAACATTAATCAAGTCAATTCCCTTTCATTTTTATAGTGCTTAATGCAATACAATAGAGATTGTTTCAAAGAAGCTTATTAAACACTAAAGTAACAGAATCAATGATGCAAACTTCAAAAATGAGGCAAATTAAAATTCTGCTGCAAAGCACCTATAGCAAGACAATTGTGTCATTATACAGCTCCAGTCATTTCAGTGTTGGTTCCGTCCAGTTCAGTAAAGTTCATTCATTATGAAACAAGTTGAATTTAGCTATAAGCAGCTCTACTTTAGACAGCAATGTTGTTCAACTCGATTCAGTTCAGTGTTGATTCGATTCAGTTCAATAACAGTTTTGATGTTGCAAATTTCTTCCATTTGAACAAATTCAATTCAGCTATAAAGCAGAAGACAACCGTATCATTATTTAGCTTAATTCATTACTGAAGTCACTTTTAGACCAAGTTTTCTTTTGGTCAATGTGGCAATGGCCAACCTGAACCTGCTGCGAAATGTGTGTAGCGAATTCTTTCATCCTGAGGCTAAGTTGCATTTCCTATTTGAAATAACTGGATTTTTCCAGGAAAAAAAAATTGCAGAACTCTGGTAAATTTGACTGCACCTTAAACCATTCTTCTAAATAACTTATTTTGTGTTCCACACAAGAAAGAAAGTTATTCAGGTGTGTATCAAATTGAGAGAAAGTAAATGATGACAACATTTTCATTTTGGGGTGAACTATCCCTTCAAGTATGGGAAGCAGTGACAGTGGAAAAATCAGCCGAGCCAGTTATTTTCAAGAATTTTCAGACAACACAAAAAAGCACAGACAGACTTACAGCCGAGAAAACAGGTGGCAAAATTGCTGATATCTCTCATCCTCCATCTCCAACGAGCATGTTGTCTCTTTCCACCTGTCTACCTGTAGCTGTCAATGACAATACTGAGGCTTCGCCCATAAGGCCTTGTTGCCTTGATCTCCTGCTGACATTTACCATTTGAAGTCCTGTCCTAAGCAGCAGACAATAACACAAACACGCTGACTCCCTCCACATTTGTGCCGACGTGTGGGTGTGTGGACGTGTTTGATCCGGGGACGGTTTGTTGTTGAGAGGGCGATGCATTAAAAAAGTTTCAAGCTAGTGAGGGGTGAGGAGGATTATTTGTGTTCGAGTGGCGGGTTGTAAATAATAAATGTGGTGGTGCAGACCTCTGTGAAATATTTTCCACCTGTTTTCCTTCTTTTCTAGCAGCTATCGTGCCCTCATCGGATCTGTTATTCTACCAACCGCTGTTCTAGTATTGAACAGTCAGATAGGAACGGGAAACCCACTTAGAGGAGATCTCATTGAATCGGACACACACTTAAACACGCTGACCTGTCTCTTGACCCTTTGCAACTCCCAAATGGGGCCAGGGCCCGCCGAATGCAGCAGAGCCAGAGGTCAAGGGGTCAAATTCCCTCAGATTGTGAAAAAATTCCGCCTACTTCAACTTTATTTGTAAGTATAATCAAATTTGGCTGTACAAGTCATTTTGACTATTAAACTGACTTTAAAAAATAGTGTTGAAATTGGTTAAATTATTTTGATGAGTTATAGTAATGGAAAAACGTCTCAGGTTACGTATGTAACCCTGCTTTCTCGAGGGAACGAGACGCTGCGTCGGAAAACGCTAGGGGAACGCCTTCTGTGACCACGCTCTGAATCCCATGTGAAATCAGTCCAATAGCTGAGCGGGACGTCACGGGCGGGTGACGTCATGACCAGGAAGCTATAAAAGCACGTGCGGCGGAGCCCGCGTCAGCTTCTAGGAATGAAGCAAGCGCAGGCAGGGACGCCGGAAGTATGGCACCGAGACACAGCGTCTCGTTCCCTCGAGGAACCAGGGTTACATACGTAACCTGAGACGTTCCTCTTCAGGAACTCGAGCTGCGTCGGAAAACGCTAGGGGAACGAGAATGCCCACGCCGCCAGACTTCCAAGTCTCTGCCTAGTGTGGAAGACTGCACAGCTAGGGCGAGAGAACAGAAGAGCCAGGAGTGGCTCGCATGTCTAGACCGTAGAACCTAACAAAGGTAAGGGGCGTGGACCACCCCGCAGCGTTGCAGATGTCCTGCATAGGCACACCCGCTAAAAGAGCCTTAGAGGCTGCCACACTTCGAGTCGAGTGAGCCTTGACCCCTAACGGCGAGGGGAGATCAGAGGACTCATAACAGATGGAGATGGCATCCACTATCCACCGACTGAGGGTCTG